CGGGAGGCAGCTCAAGAAGGCAGTAGTGACTACACCAGCAGCCAGGAGAACATTCCCTAATAGCACTGGAAGCCAAAGAATGCAGGTGGCTGGATGCACTCAGAACTGGCAGAGGGCTTCCGAAGATCTCAGACAGAAGTTAGAGGAGGGGCAGTGGGAGAGCAGAGCAGATGAACTAAGACCTTGCTAGACCCAGGACTGGACTGGAATCCCAGCTACTCCAGAGGCTGAAGGAAGATAAGGCCAATAATAGCTTAGACAACAAAGCCAGACCTCATCTCAAGAAAATAAAAATCTTGCTGAGCCAAGTCATTTATGGCAATATAACTGACATTTATTCTTGCAGATCTGGTAAATAAAATTAATGTTTTTCTGAAGCTGCATAAAACAGAAAATATTAAAAAGTAAGTCTCAACCAGGCAGTGGTGGCACACTCCTTTAGGCCCAGCACTCAGAAGGCAGAGGCAGGGGGATCATTGTGAGTTCAAAGCAAGCCTGGTTTACAAAGTGTGTTCTAGGACAGTCAGGACTACACAGAGAAACTCACCCCCCCCCTCTCACAGACACACACACACACAAAAAAAAAAAAAAAAAAGAAAAAAAAAAGAAAAAAAAAAAAGAAAAGAAAAGAAAAAAAAGAAAACTCCGACATGGCAAAATCCAACTCTCCAAGAGGACAGCTGAAGACTTTCTTAGGCAGGAAAAGCATTACTGTAGAACAAATCTAAGCAAATAGAATCTTTTTTTTTTTTTTTTTTGAGACAGGGTTTCTGTATAGCTCTGGCTGTCCTGGAACTCACTCTGTAGACCAGGCTAGCCTCCCAGGAGATCTGCCTGTCTCTGCCTCCTGAGTGCTGGGATTAAAGGCCCGCACAAATAAAATCATCTTATTAAAGGAACAAAGATACTCATTACATTCTGGCTCTCTTCTGAATTAACAACTATGACCACAGACCAAGTAAAGAATGGAATCATGATTACTGTATAGATAACATCACTCTAATTCACTAATAAGCATTTCTGTTACTGACAAAGGTAAGACAAGAATGACAGAAGAATCATGAATTAGTACCAGGCCAAAATTAATTTGATTATGCAAGAAAATAAATCGACTTACACATTTTGTCAGGCATGGTGGGACACAACTTTTATCCTAGCATTCAGGAGGCAGAGGCTAGGCAGGTGGATCCTTTGATCCTTGAGGCCAGCTAGAATTGTATAGTGAAGCCTGTCTCAAGAACAAAAAAATTTTTTTTTCTTTTGAGACAAAGTCTCAAGTAGCCCAGACTGGCCTCAAACTCATATAGCTGAGCATAACCCTGAACTTCTGATCTTCCTGACTATACCTCTGGATTGCTGGGGTTACAAGTATGTTCCACAAAACACTTTTTCTGTATATTTTCTTCATTCACAGAGAAACATTATACACAGATATAATCAGTTTGGAGCAGAAAAATGTTACAAGACACACATACTAACAAAAAAAACAAAAAACAAAAACAAAAACCAAAAACAAAGAAAAAATAAATTGGGACCAGGATGTGAACTTCATTAAGTGGAGCCTTCTTGCTAAAAAAAGCAGAATTTGTGGGGTGTTAAGGATGGAAACAAGAGAGTGAGTGAGAAGAGTGCTTACTGCTTTCATTCGGTCTTTTCAGATTTTGGTATAGACCTTCAAAGAGACAAAACTGACATACTCAGTATCATTTAGGGAAAGACAGCGGTTCTTTGGTCTTTAGCTCAAGACACTTGTCTAGGAAGTCCCTGTTTTGAACTGAAGCATCAGTGAATTGGGAACCATCCATATCATACAGTTACAAAGCAGGAGTTTCTTGGAAGATGTCTTTTTTATTTGTAAATCCAGAACATGTGTGGTAGTAGGGAGTTGGTCACATTCAGCGTCTGACATTTCTAAGACCCGTTTTTGTGGCTCCTGGTACTTTCAACTTTGTTTTTAAAAAATTAAAAAAATCTATCTCATTTGTATGAGTGCTTTGCCTACATGTGCGTCAGTGTATTACGTGCATGCCTGCTGCCTGCAAAGGTCAGAAGAGGCCATCAGATCATCGGAACTGGAGTTATAGATGGTGGTGAACTTCTATATGGGCACTGGGAATTGAACCTGGGTTCTCTGCAAGCCTCTTAACCACTGAGCCATCACTCTAGCCCTCAAGTTTGTATTTTTATGCAAAGGGATTCTGACAATGAAACACTTTCACCCACATCATCCTCATTTACTCTGTTTTTGGAGACTAGTACTTGAAAAGATAAACAGGAAGCCACTCCGCATTTTCAACTGAAAGAAGCCATTGAATCTAACCAAAATCAGCAAATATTATTCATTTTCTTCTGTGAACATCTTACTTAAATGCTTCACTAAAGCCACTAGTGCAGGGTTCCCACCACAGGCCTCAATTTGTTTATAGGCTTTAGCTTCAAGCTCTCTCAGAGTGTATCGAGTATATTCAAAAGAACCTACATCCTCCAGGTACTGCACACAGTATTTTTTAATATCTATATTTTCTGTTCTTTGGCGCAGGATATTCTGTACCTGGGTGCTTTCTGGCCTTGACCAGATGGCATGAATAGTGGGGAATGAGAACTTCCCTTCTGTCAGGTCTTCACAGAAACTTTTGTTTTCACTGTATTCTTTGGAGTGTAAATTGGCATAATCATCTCTAATCTGGAAGAAGAGTCCAAGTGTATCAAGCAGTGGCTTTAAATCTTCTTTGTAATCAGAGAACAACTGCATGAGACCCACTGCTAGTCCAAACAATCCACCTGTCTTCTGCAACACCATGGCTTTGTATTCTTCCTCAGTGGGACAGGTGTAGGTGTCCCTCCAGTAAATATCTAGGCCTTGTCCCTGATGGAGTTCCAAAAGTTGGCGTGTGAAAAGCTTTACAGCATCTGGGTGATCAAGTGTTAAGACTTTCTCCAGGCCAAGGAAATAGACATAATTGGCAGAATTGATGACAGATGGGATTCCATAGATGCTATGCGCCACTGGAAAACCACGTCGGAGCTTTGAATTGTCTTCAATATCATCAATGAGTAGGCTGGCGTTATGCAACATTTCAGTTACTTCAATGATAATCTAGAGGAAAACAACCAAAATAGAAAATTTCACTAACATATACACATACAACACACACATGTAAAGGGATACAACCACATACATACAGATATATACAAAGACTAGTGCACAAATGTGTACATGCACACACTGAGAATTTTTTAAAAGATTTATTTCTATTATTTTTAATTTGTGTATGTGTCAGTATGTATGTGCATGTGAGTGCAGGTGCCCTTGGAGGCCAGAGACATCAGATTCCCTTGGATCTAGAGTTATAGGCAGTTGTGAGGTGCCTGATGTGGGTGCTGGAACTTGAACTTAGGTCCTCTGCAAGAGCAGTACATGCTCTTAATGAACCTCAGAGCCATCTCTCCAGCCCAGTTTTTAAAATTTTAATTAATTAATTAATTTATTTATTTTTTAAAGACATATTCTCCTTATGTAGCCAGCTTCTAAGGGCTGGGATTCCATGTGTGTACTACCATGGTACATGCTTGCCAAAACAGGTTATACTTAAAGATATTATTAAAAGTGCCCCTCCCCCATTGCTGTTGCTGTGTTTTACCACAAATCTGTCAGCCAGACAGGATTTCTTTTCTTTTCTTTTCTTTTTAGGTTAATCTGCTCTGTTAATCCCCAGTTAAAGCCATTGTCATCTCCCTGACAGTAGACACATCCCTTCTAAAAGCCACCTTTTCTGTGCAGGGTTGGGCCTTCAGGAAGCCAAACCAAAAGCAGAAACAGGATTTCAGAAACCAAAGCTGTGTGGTAATAACTGCAAATAAATTAACCGGGCACAGATCACCACGCAGTCATGCTCAGATGGTGTCTACTGCCTTTCTTGAGGGAAGGGGCAAGAGGCTGGTGGGAGGGTACCTGGGAGGAAACAATGATTTTGTTTTGTTTTGCTTCTTTATCATAAGAAACTGGTCTATAAACGTGTGCCCCGCACAAGCAGTTCATTTAGATATTTTCATGAATCTTTTCAATTTTCACAGACAACCTATCCAGATCATTCCTCAAGTCATCCAGCAAGCATTTGGCTGACGCCAGGTTGTTTTCATTTGTTTCAGTCTTGATGGAGTAGGCAACCAAGCTGTCCACGGCAGTCCTGAGCATTTTCAAGTCTTACTCCACTTGGTCCACTGAGAATTTCAGGTTGTCTAGAGAGGAGAGTCTATCCAGGAAATCCTGGGGAGGCCTGGGCTTGGTCTTGGCCGAACATCGAGTGCACCTGTCCTTGCAGTGACCCACACTTTGCTGCAGCTCCTTCACTTTGCTCTGGCCAGCGTCAGCTGGACCTCCCCCAGGCTCCTCACTGTGCTGGCCAGATCAGAGGAGGACCCCAGGCTTTCCAGGTGCTCCTGCAGCATAGCCAGGCACTGCTCATACTCCTGGCTCTTAGACAAGAGCGACTTCAGGCTCTCAGTGTAGTGAGTAAAGGCCACCTGCATAGAGTAGACCTTCAATCTGCCGCTGGAGTTCATCTAAGGTTTTGGAGTCTTTGAAGACAATGGCCTCCTCTGCTCCATGGGCCTCAGCCTTCAGCTGCTGCAGCTCTTCTTCCAGTCTCCTGATGTCCTCTGGGAGGAGTACTTCTCAGACCACAAAAGCTTCTCCATGAGGGCCTCCAATGCCAGGGGCCTGCTTGAACACACGTTGTTCCTGCTTGAGGCTCACTAGCTCCTGGACCTCTATGTAGACATCAGATTCCATGGTCTGAAGGGAACTCTGCAGGGCCTCAATGTCCCTCTCCCTGGACTTCACAGAGGCCTGGACCTCCTTCAGGGCTTTCTCCAGAATTTTCAGGTCCTGACTGCGATCGCCCTTGGATTTTTCCAGGGAAGGCCACCTTCATCTTGATGTCATTTATCTCCTTCTGGCTCCTCTTCTGGACATCGGTGAAGATGGAGGTTTGTCATTGATGGACTTGGTGAGCTCCATTAGGTGCTCCTTTACCACGTTCTCCAAGGATGTGAAATCCTGCTCTTGGGCATCCTTGACCACATGGATCATGTCAGACAGATCTTTAAGAATCTCATTCTGCAGCTTCTGTAGAACTTCGCTGATACGGTTCATCTAGCTCTCCCCCTGCTTCACAGCTTTCTCTGCGGGGTCCTGTTTATGTTGAGAACTTCTCAAGATGGACTTGAAAGTCCCAAATATGGCTTGCAGAGATTGTACCTTCTGCTCGACACCCTGCAGGCTCTGGCCCAGCTCGTCCCTTGGCCACACCGGACCTGCTAGACCTCCTCCAGGACGTGATGAAGAAAGCCCTGAAGGAGGTCCAGGCCTCTCTAAAGTCCAGCCACGTGCTCTGGCCTGAGCGCTTTAGGGCCTGAGCCAGGGGTTTGTAAACCCACAAGCAGTCTAGCCAATAGTAGTAGCTCTGGCCCCTTTAAGCTCTGGCCATGTGAGTTAAAGATCTGGCTGCAAGTAGCTCCAGATGCATGTAGCCGGACCACTTGTAGCTACGGTCGAGTGCATGTGTCGAGTGCATGTAGCCCATCTAGCTCAGTTGGTAGAGCATGATACTCTTAATCTCAGGGTCGTGGCCAACCCACGATGGGTGCCAACTGTAGATGAATCTCTAAACAGTCTTATTAAGTAAGAAACACAGAGCCAAATACAGAGGTATACGCCATAGAGGTCAGAGCAATAGCTGCCAACTAACCTTAGCTTACCACCTTGCTATAGCTTCCCAAGAGAGCTTCTTCCTGTCTAACCTGCACCTTTATTGCCTTCCTGTTCTGTCTTCTCATTGGCTCTAAGCCCAGCCACATCACTTCCTCATCACTGCCTGTCTATACAGACCTCCAAGTTTCTATGGTTGGTAATGGGATTAAAGGTGTGTGTCACCATGCTTGGCTGTGGCCTTGAACACACAGAGACTCTGCCTGCCATGTGATTGGATTAAGGGCATGTGCCACCACCGTTTGACTTCTGTTTATGGCTCGCTATGACCTCTGATCACCAGGCAAACTATTTATTAACATACAAATAAAATATCACATTTCAGCACAAATAAAATATCACCACATATTACCAAATTACTAAAGTCTCAGTTGTCTTAAGCTTTTACAACTAATAAATATTTAGCAACCTCGATATATAATATTGTATAAACATTAAGAGGATAAGGATTTTGGAGTACTTTTACATGACACCTACTAATTCCTTGGTGATTAAATGCAGAATAAGATTTAGAACTGCCTAAGGGCTGGGGATGTGGCTTAGTGGCGAAGCACTTGTCCAGCATGCTCAAGGTCCAGAACTGGACACACAGTAGGACAAAACAGAGACAAAATGGACTGCCTAGATACCTGTAGTTTGTCTTCTGGAACTTTCAGCCAGTGATTAAATGCCTGTGAAAGTTTGGTTCTCACCTGTTTACCTGCAATTAATAACACAGAATATGACAAATAAAACATTATTTTACTTAAAAAAATAATTTTAAGAAACACTTATTTAATTGAGTTTCTATGATCATGTGCATTTCACGGTTCACTTGTGGAGGTGGAAGTCAGAGCTTAGGCATGGTGACAAGCACCATTACTGCCTGAGTTATCTCACTGGCCTCCAAAATGTGATTACAAGAAAAATTGAAAAACTTGCTTCCAAATGGATCAGACTTAAGACAGTCACAGCAACCCATTTCCTTCCCCGCCGAATACCCCTCAGATTTCTCAATGTGAAGGAATACTGGGGGTGGATTACCCTCTTCATTTTATCATTCAAACTACACTTGGGTGAGTGGAGAGATGGCTCAGCATTAAAGAGCTTTTGCTGCTCTTGTAGAGGACCCAAGTTTGGTTCCCAACACCCATGTCAGGTGGCTCACAACCATACGTAACTCCAGCTCCAGGTGATTCAACACCCTCTTCAGTCCTCTGTGGGTACCCACACTCACCCACACATACTTCCCACCCCAGCACATATATACACACAATTAAAGATCAAAAGGCACAGCTTTTTAAAATAAGGGCCAACAAGAAAGTCTAAAGCACTTCAGTGAGTTTTAATCATATTGGAGGTGGAATGGTCATTTTTAGAAAACACACTTTATCTTTGTTTTTCAGAAAAAGAAATTAATCTGTTCGGGGACAATTAGGTAACACTATCTGTTACACAAAAATTCAAAGCATTTTGCCAATGCATTTCCTCATAAAACTATCCATCATTCCTTTAAATTAAGGTTTTAGAGACTAGGGCAACTTCAGTTTACGTATCCTAAGCTTAAACAAGTCCTAGCCTTTGGTGTTGACTAGGGCCACTAGCTTTCTAATAGCATTTTCTTTTTCACGTGGAAGGCTCGAGAAAGATCTTTCGGTAGTAGCTGCCAGTAGAAGTTAAATTAGCCTAAACACAAAGCAATGGTAGATAAAATTTACAACCAGTTCATTTAGTACAAATATCATATCCCGTCTAATACTGCAAATTCAGAATAGGGCTCAAGAAAACAGTTACATAAAAGTTACGTTTCGGAGGCTAGAGAGATGGCTCTGTGGTTAAGAGCACTTGCTGCTCCTCCAGAAGTTCCAGGTTTGATTCCCAGCATACACATGGTGGCTCAGAACCATAACTGTAACTTCACTCCTAGGGGAACTGACCTCCCCTTCTGGCCTCCTCAGGTACTAGGCATACATGTGGTGTCCAGACACAAACAGCCAAAACCTCCATACACATAAAATAAAAACTTAAAAAGGGAAAGAAAAGTTAAGTTACAGTCTGGGTATAGTGGTGCACAGCTTTAATCCTAGCACTTGGGAGACAGACCTCTGTGAGTTCAAGGTCAGCAAGACACTGACTCAAAAAAAAAGTTTTAGAGGTAAACGTGGCTAGGGCAAAGCCTAATGACCTGAATTCCATCCCCAGGATTCTCTGAGCTCCCTATACATTCACACTCAATACATTAATGAGGGGGAAAAAAAGGAGTTGGGTTGGACAGATGGCTCAGAGATTAAGAATGAGTTAAGGGTTAAGGTCCTGTAGAGGTCCTGGGTTTGTCCTAGCATCTACTTCACAGGTAGCTCACAACTGGCTAAGATTCTAGCTCCAGAGGATATAACATCCTCTTCTGACCACAGGCATTTACACACGTGCACATACCCTCCCACAGACACATAATTAAAAGAAAGAAGGAATAACTTTTTAGGATTGGCCACAGTACACCTGTAATACCAGCACTTGGAAAGCAGAGGCAGGAGGTTCACCACAAATTCCAGGCCAACCTGGGCTACTTAATGAATTCTAGGCCAACTTAGGAATGTATCAACGATATCCTGTCTCAATAAAACAGAAACATTTTCATTATATAGTTCTTTGAATAATTCTTCTTATAATGGTATTGCTTCAAACAGAAGATCTCAAGAACCATTTAAGTTTAACCCTTCCTGTTGCTAACATTTACATAAACACTACTCTTTGAAAACTATGCTATACGGACAATAACTGAACTGTTACCTGGTAATTGAAGTAAGTACCTATAGGGCTCTAGAAGAATTCTTTCAGCTTTCTCTTGAGTCTTCTCCATGTTTTATAAATTTCAAAGATGACCTGTTAAAAAGGAGAAATATAAAAATGATCTCATGAATCAAAATATTTTTAAGTGTTAAGTGCAAAGGAATTTTTATCAAGGCATTTTTTTGGACAGACAGACCTTAAATTTTATTTATATAGTAAAATGTTACATGTATAAAACCTTGAAAAATTATGTAAAGCAAAAGGAGCCAGCCACAAAAGAACATGCTGTATGATCCTATTTATAGGAAATGTTCTGAATCAGACAATCTATACAGATGGGAAAGCAGGTTAGTGGTTTCTGGCTCAGAAAAAATAAGGACTGTTACTAATGAAGAATGAAGGTGTGTGCACACGCTCACATGTGTGGTGTGTTTTTGTATAGGATCAAAATGTTATTAGAATGTGGTGATGGCTGTACACTGTAATTACACTAAAATCTACTAAATTGTAATTAAAAAAAAGTTTTTGAAAGGTCTTATGGTGTAGCTCAGAATGGCTTCAAATTTGTGACTGCCCTGCCTCATGGTTTTCAGTGCTGAAATACAGACATGCATCATCATATCTAGCTTGTCCTGAGATGGGGTCTTACTATGGTGCCCAAGCTGGCCTTGAAACTGTGGGTTCAAGCTACCAAATCCATCTTAATTAATCACTGTGAATGGGTGGTATATAAATTATACCTCAAGTTTCTAAAAAGAAAAATTCTTCATTCCACTGATTACATTGATGAAAATGTTTAGTCGATTTTTAAGTAGTTTTCTTAGATGACTTATTGCTGACATCAAGTAAATGTCAAAACAAATTCACAAAAACAGACATTTCTATAATGATTACAAATATTCTATCAATATTAAGATAGGTGTGCTTTGTAATTTGTGAAGAACATTTTTCTCAAATCAATAAACCTCAGAAATTGTTTTTAAGATGCAGACTAATTTGAATACAATTATTACTTAAGAATTCCCTGTAGTGTCTTATTATTTTGAATTTTGCCTTTACTTCAATATTTCCTAGAATATAAACTGTGGCATGTATGTACATATGAATTTTTTGAGACAAGATGTATGTAGTCCCAGCTAGTCTTGAACTCTTGATTCTTTTTTTTTTGGTTTTTCGAAACAGGGTTTCTCTGTGTAGCTTTGCGCCTTTCCTGGAACTCACTTGGTAGCCCAGGCTGGCCTTGAACTCACAGAGATCTGCCTGTCTCTGCCTCCCGAGTGCTAGGATTAAAGGTGTGCGCCACCACCCCCCGGCGAACTCTTGATTCTTTTGCCTCTACTCCCAAATACTGGGATTACAGAGCATGCTACCTTGCCCAGCTTCAATCATAGTCTTTGCAAGGGCTTCCTTTACTGGTGAGTCTTCTGTTTCTCTGCAAATATCTATGTCTACTTTTCTCCTCAGAGATCCGCTTTTCTAGTGACCATGATACCTCTGGCAAGCTTTAGGTGTTATGAGTTGTGTCTTCTTTGGGGAGCACCATTTAGTTTTCAGAATCACAAGCTCTCCTCTAATAATCTTTTATGGATTCACTGTGTATATGTAAATATAAAACCAAATAGAACATGGTTACATGATGGCAGTTCATGGTTATTGCTGGTCAAAGAGCCAGCTACATATCACAGGTTTTGGAATCAGAAGGCACCTGTGATGGTTAGTGTTGTCAACTTCACAGGCTCTAGAAGAGGGAGTCAGTTCTCTTCCATCATGTGAATCCCATGGACAGAACAACTCAGGTTGTCAGGCTTCATGGCAAACCCTTAACCCAGAGCCATCTGCTGACACTATACATAAAATTAAAAGAAAGAATGAGTTAAGAGCTAAAAGCTATACTGACTTCCACACAAGTACGATGGCATGTGGATGCTCATACACGTACATAATAAGTACCTGTGAGAAACAAAAATTTTTGTGTGTACATGTATTCATGTGTGTGAGTGCATGTTTGTATAGAGGCTATATAACAACCCTTGGTCTTCTTCAATCATTTTCCACCTTATATTTGAGACAGGATCCATCACTGAACCCAGGCCTTGCCAATTTAGGTAGACTGGCTGGCCAATGAGTTCCTGGGATATGCTTGTTCTGGCTCGGGCAAGTGCTGGAGTTAAAGATGTAGGGATGTGGAACTTGGCTCCTCATGCTTCATAGATGTTTTACTGACTGAGCCATCTCCCCTGCAACCTCAATTTGTAACTCTTCATTGAAGACAGATAATAAATGAAATCAAGAATGAAGGTGTTGTATTTATTATTCAGGGTGCTCTTTAGAATCAAACGCATACAAATGTGAATACACATGCTGAGTGCTTTTTTATTGTTTGCTTTTGGATGCAGGATTTCCCAATGTAGTTCAGGCTGCCCTAGAATGAACAATCCTCCTTTCTTAGCCTTCAAGTGCTAGGATTACATGTGTATCACCACGCCCAGTGAAAAGCATGCTTTAAAAAGTATTCAGAGCCAGGCAGTGGTGGCGCATGCCTTTAATCCCAGCACTTGGCAGGCAGAGGTAGGCGGATCTCTGTGAGATCGAGGCCAGCCTGGTCTATAAAGCAAGTTCTGGAACAGCCAGAGCTGTCACACAGAGAAACCCTGTGGGGGGGGGGGAAGGTATTCATTTATTTAAAGTATTCATTTATTTAATTTCGTGTGTGTGTGTGTGTGTGTGTGTGTGTGTGTGTGTGTGTTTATCTTAGTTACTGTTTTATTGCTGTAAAGAGACACTATCACCAGTCCAATGTGGTGGTGCACATTTTAGTCACAGAACTTGAGAGGTAGAGGCAGGGGGATCTCTGTGAGTTCAAAGCTAGTATGGTCTACATACATAGTTCCAAGACAGCCAAGGCTCTGTAGTGACCCTGTTTCAAAAACAAAAACAACCCAACAACAAAAAACACGACATTATGACTAAGGCAACTTATAAAAGACAACATTTAATTGGAGGCTTGCTTACAGTTTCGGAGGGTGAGTCTATGAACATCATGATGGAGATCTGGCAGCAAGCAGGCAGGCATGCATGGCACTGGAGCAGTATTTGAGAGCGTACATCTTATCCATAAGCCTGAGGCAGAAAGCTAACTAGGAATGGCATGAGCCTTTGAAACGTCAAAGGCTATCTCTAGTGACATACCTCCTCCAAAAAGTCCACACCTCCTAATCCTTCCCCAAACAGTTCCACCAACTTTGGGGGGGCCATTCTCATTTAAACCACTATAGTGGTGTTTGTGGAACTTTGAGATTGACATTGGGTAATTTCTTTAACCTTCCCACCTTATTGTTTGAAATAGTCTTTTATTAAAGCTAGAGTTTGCTGGTTTGGCTAGACTGGCTGGCTAGCAATCCCCAGGTCCTCATGATTTCACAGCAAGGACTTTACCTACTGAGCCATTTCTCCAGCTTCAAGAGCCCATTTTTTGGTAGTTAATTCTTAGTATGTCAAACATCCACACACACACAAAAAAAATCAGCAACACACCAAAGCAGTTCAGCAATATGAATTCAGAGAGAAACATCCTAAATAGAAAACTTCTAGCCAAATGTGGTAGAACCTGTTTGTAATCCCAGCAGTTGCAAAGTAGGGAGAAGGATCAGGAGTTCAGGGCCAGTTTGTGCTACATGACATGTCTCAATCCTTTACTTCCTAAGGAAAAAAATCTCCATTAGCCTTGACTAGCAGTTACTATTAAGAACATCACGCTGGGCGGTGGTGGCGTACACCTTTAATCCCAGCACTGGGGAAGCAGAGGCAGGTGGATCTCTTTTTCAGGCCAGCCTGGTCTATAGAGTGAGTATCAGGACAGGTTCCAAAGCTACACAGAGAAACCCTGTCTCGAAAAACCAAAACCAAAACCAAAACCAAACCAAATAAACAAACAAAAAAGAACATTACAAGGAAAAGAATCATCATAAAAATAGTTTAAAATATTTCAAATAGCAACTTAGACTGGCCTGGAACTCCCTACGTAGTCCAGGCTGGCCTTGAACTCTTGAGCTTTTTGGAGAGGTGGGATTACAGTTGTTAATGCTGGACATGTTACTTTGGTCTTGAGAGGTTAAAGATAAAGGTGATGCAAAGAAGGAAGACAAATAATGTTAGCAACAGATCATTTAAACATATGATAAAAAATATCTGTTCTTTTTCCGTTGGGTGAAGTCCAAAGCCTTGCACTTGATCTACCATTAACCTAAACCCTCAAGTCCTCAAAGCATCTTTTATACACTCCCCTCTTTTAAACCAGCTGGCAGCCATCTTTTTTCAATTAGGTGCCAGCAAAAAGCATGCTATCTTGTTTGCATTCTGGAAAACACATTTGACCTAACTTTAAATAATGAAGTCACCTTCAAGAATTTGCCTCTGGGTCAATAGCAGGTACCTTTTGAACAGGAATTAAGAGTGACACATCCTTTAAACACTGAAGTGTCATGTTGTCATTTCCTCCCCTCCCCCCAAAGGGTTTCTCTGTGTAACAGAGTCCTGGCTTTCCTGTAATCTGCTTTGTAGATAGGCTGGCCTCAAACTCAGAGATGTGCCTGCCTCTGCCTCCCAAAAAACCTGGTGTTTTTAAAAAAATCTTTAATATTTCTCCACTAGTGATGAATTTTAAAAAAGTTATTTTTTTGCTCATTCACAGTTTAACAGTACTCATATAAGTCAATTAATGTTCCCTTCCCAGAAAATATTTACATATAGTATTCTCTATGGTGGAGAAACATGAGAACTTCAATGTCTGTAAGTACTGACAGTCAATCTGTTTTGCACTTTAAGAGTCTAAGGCAGTTAAAAGAGTTCTATATACTCTTGACTGTTTTTTTTTTAAACTAAGGACTGTCAATTGTCTTGGTTAGAAGTTTCAGCTTTTCATGTACTAGACGTAAGTGCTGAGTGGCACGAACTCAGTTAATCTTATGTGGAATCACTACAGAATGCCTCAGTGCAAATCTGATACCAGTTTCCCACTTTAAAAAACTGAAAAGCTGTTGGAAATTTGTTTGAAAAAGAGATTAGTGAATATTTATGCAAGTAGATCGTTTTCCCTGTTGAAATACTATTGCAGCTGCCCCTCTGATCTTCCGCCATCATTTTTTTTTTTTTTTTCCTTGAGAGAGGATCTGTGTGGCCCAGGCTAGCCAGGAACTCATTACGTAGTTCAGGCTGGCCTTGGAATGTGTCAGCACCACAATGCTAAACTCTACTTCTGGGTGAGTTGTCACTTTAGCAATTCAAGTTGGGAATCCAAGATATTCTACTACTCACTGGACCATTAGAGCAGATAAAACCTCTTTTTTAATTTTGATTTCTGGTGACAGGCTCATCCTGTGTAATCTAGGCTGGCCTACAATACACAGCAGTAAGCCTCCGGCTTCAGTCTCCAGGGTGCTGGATCAAAATTCCTTAACCTGCCTTCCTCATCTCTCTGGGCCTCAGATACTGGGAAAGCTTTGTCCTGAAACGCATTTCCAACATGTTCTCCTTTCCTTAAGGCTTTTCCCTTAGGAACTCCTGCTGGCTTCTTGAGCCGAGCTCGATCCTCATTCCCTCAGAAAAACCTCTCTATACTTCCCTAAGCCAAAGCTCTAATTCACATCCTCCTATCACGTTTCACTTTGTCTGACCAGACGCGTTCAGGAAGTCGCACAAGGTCCATCCTGTCTTTCCACATGAGGACTGAATGAACCTCAGAGGATAAAATCGTGCCTCAGCACGCATACAAATATCGAAAATTCCATGCACAGTATTTCTCTCTGTTTTTTATAGGCAGGCTCTGGTCTGAAACTAGCTAAACATATGGGCCCCCGAGAAACGCAGGTGTGAGGCGCACAGCAAGACCTTTTTACTCCAAGCCTTGGAAATGATGGCTCTGAGGAAAAAGGGCTCCACACCGGCAGTGCTGTAATAAGCTCGCAGGCTGGCTTTTCCCCTGCGCTGCATCGGTGCCCTTCCGCTCCTCAGAGCCCCTCTGCCTCCCCCGCGTCCCAGCACCCGGCCGCCAGTCACCCCAAGCCGGGTCAGCATCCGGGTCCTCTCCCTCCTTTCTTCTTCTTCCTCCTCGGTACCGCCCCCTCCCCCGCTCCCCATCCGGGTTCCCCCCCCCCTGCCGCCGCGCCGCTGCTCACGGTTCCACGATGATCTCAGACTTCAAGCCGCCGGTCGGAGACTAGCAGTACCCACATCAATTTCTCACTTTATAGTTCAGACCTCGGCTCTTCCCGAGGCCTCCTTGGAGCCCTCCCCCTACTTCACCACAGAAATCTCCGCCCTCCTCCGCGGCCAGCGACGCCGCATTACTGGGTGCAAGAAAATACGCCATCCCTGGCACACTGCGCAGGCGTCGTATGCCACCTCCCCTCTGCGTTATGGCCGCGCCCCCTTCCCCCCCTCCCCGCTCCCGTCGAACGCAGGCAAGAGGCATTGCGGTCTTGGTAGTTCTTACGTCCGAGAGTTTGCCGATTGGCCCGGAGGAGTGGACTACAAATCCCAGGAAGCACCGAGGCATAACTTTCTGTTTCCATAGAACTGGTGGGAAAATGGCGTCGTTGTTTGCATCGTTCAAGCCAATAAAAACTGGGAAGAGGCGGGCTCCAAAGAATCCTAGCCAATCCTAGATCGCCTGAGAGGCATCCGGGAAAGAGGTAGGGGAGGGGAAAAGAACCGAGGGGAGGGGAGAAGGGGAAGGGGGGGCCGGGGTGGGGGGAAGCGATGTTTGCCCGTCAGTCGAGTCCGGAGTGAGGAGCACGGGCGCCGGAGCGGAGGGAGAGTCTCGAGCTACAGCTTGCGGCCGCGACGCCGGCCACCGCCTGGACGTCTGCCCGGAGGGAGCCGCAGAAGATCGGCCGCCGCGGTCCTCGGGAGGGCTTCGAGACCGGGGGCCCGGACCTCCGTCTGGGAGGGATTTTTCGTCGCCCCCCTCCCCCCGCGAGGGAGCCGGAGCGGCCGCCAAACAAAGGTACCAGTCGCCGCCACGGGAGGAGGAGGAGCTGGAGCCCCGGCCGCCGGCGGACCCGCAGCTTCTTCGCCATCTCTCCCCCGGCCGGGCCTGCTGGTGTTGGGGGGGGAGGCGGAGCAGGGGACTCTTGGCCGCAGGGCTCAGACCTCGTCTACGCCGGAGGTAGGGGCATTATTTTTCGTGGGGGGGAAGCTCCGGGCCGGGCCGCGCAGCGGGGCAGATGGCTACGGGGCTGAGTCGGCGCTCGCAGCGGGGCCTCGGCCTCCCGGGACCCCCGCCCCCCGCGGCGCGTAGCCGGAGCCGCCCTTCCCGGGCCGCACCGGGAGCCCTGCGGCCTCGGCCCGCGGGACTGAGAGCTGGATGTCCTCGGTGCCCGGCCCCGGCTCCCACTTGTGGGCCTCGGGCTCGAGCGGGACGCGGACGGGCTGTGTGGGACCGAGCCGTCGCAGCCTAAGGGCCCGCCGGTTCACTCCGGGCTCAGTCCCGGAGCTCCGGGCATCGCGGTTCCGTGGGCTCGGACGGCTGCAGCGGCACTCCAGGCCGCGCCGGACTCTGGGCTTGTTGTGAGTTTTCTTCTGACAGAAATGGCGTCATCGTGGAGGACGGGGAAAAGTCCGTGGAGTCGCGACAATGGAGCGGCAAGCGGCGGGCGGTGGGGGCGGTAGGGGCTCTGGGATGGCGCGTGCCTGCTGGGGTTCCTGGCCTCACTCGGTGCCGCCCCCGCCCCGACGGCGTAGGGGGTGCCGGTGGTACTGACCGGGTGTCTTTGTTTCCCCCTCCAGGTGCAGGTGAAGCTGGTGTCGCCGTGGGGATCGCGGCCCCAGAGTCACCATGAAGGTAAGGCGTCACTCAACCAGCTTGAGTGGCTTTCGAATTGAGGAAGTGCAGGGGCCGTGGCTGTGGCAGGCCTGCGAGTTTTGCAGAGGCAGGTGTGTGGAGTGGCTCGGTGCGGAGCTTTCCCTGGAGACAGAGGGTCAACTGGTGCGATCATCCACGGGCTGTGTCGTGGAGTTGTGGAGTCAGTTAGGAGACATCTCACCAAAGCTGTGCGTGCGGCTCCCGAATAGAACACACAGCGCCTTTTGCATGGAACCTTAGGAACAACTGCACGAATTAAAGCGTCTTAAATCATAAAACAGAAAGCGGTTCTGACTCTTGAAACAGTACTATATACTGTTAACACCGATGCAAGAAAATTGTATTTAATCGTGTGGACAGAACGGTGAATTTTAAGCAGAAAGCAAAAATAATTTTGAAGACGTTTAAAGCAGTTTGGTGCTCTTTACCTTTCGAGATCCGATTTGGCCTGTTGTACCTTGTATTTCCGGGGATTTAGGGTTGTGTGGTTCATTTTTCTTTATGTTGATGTTCTGGGTCCTGGAGTTGTCACGTGCTCTGCTGTGTCGCGTTGTGTGGAAAACTGATGGCCAGGTTCCTCTGAAGTAAACATGTTGACCGCAGAATAGCTTCTAAGAAATGTGTCAAAGAAGTAGTTTGTGTATTGGTGGAATAAAAAAATCGTAGCAATAAAAATACAGGTGGTTTTTGTCATTTTAGAGAGTTTGTAAAGTTGTTTTTTTTTTTTGTGTTTTGTTTTTTGTTTTTGTTTTTCCCCACACTGGTATGAAAAGCTTTGGGTATCTGATATATCTAGATTTAACTGGTGGAATTTTGATACTAGAATTTTTTTTCTTTAAATATATTACAAATCCAGATGTGCTTGAAAATGGTAGTAGTGTGTGTTTACTGGATTGAAATGTAATCGATGGCATGTCAGGATGTAAATGGCATCTGCTTTTGACAGTTCTTTTAGGATGTTTTTTTCTTTTTTTAA